ACAATAAACCAATTCAAATAATCCTTTCTTTGGTTGGTGGTTGAATTATTTCTTTTGGCGAATTAACCACCGCTAAAAGCAGAAAGAGTGATAGCAGGAGCATCGATGCTATAAATCCTTTCGCCTTGACCGCCTTTGCTGATGGTTCCTATTCAGTGAGGCTTATTGAATTTTTTGAGTGGAGTAATTTTTTTTAATCAATTAATAACTTTACCCTTGATGCTGGGCTTGTCTGCTCCAATTTCTAAAATATCTTTTACAGTTTTTTCGGCTGGTAGAGCCTGTGGAAAAGAGTACTTGACTGGGAACAGAAAATTATCTTTTTGAAAACCAAGAATAAATAATCGTCGACGGCTTTGTGGTAATTGGTAATCATTGGCATCTAAAATTTGGTATTCAACTTGGTAATTTAGTTTTGCCAAATTTTCCACTAAAAAATTAAAAGTTTTTTCTTTGTCATGAGTTAAGAGATTAGGCACATTTTCTAAAAAAATTATCGGTGGCTTATGATGCTTGATAATATCAGGAGAGAAAAAATAACATCGCTTCTTTCGTCTTTTAAACCTTTTTTTTACCACTAATACTGAATGCTTGGCAAGGAAACCCCACACATAAAATATCATGCTGGGGGATTTCTGCTAATTTTACTTGACGAATATCTGAATAAGGATTAACCCCGAAATTTTTCTCATAAGTTAAGCAAGAATATTTATTAATTTCAGAACTAAAAACACATTTTGCTCCAAAACTTTCCCAGGCTAAACGAAAACCACCAATTCCCGCAAATAAATCAATGAATTTTAGATCGGACAAGGATTTTTGATAGCAAGAAGGCAATTTAATCATGATATTTTAACTTTATTTTACCTCTGTATACATTTTATACTGATTTACAACAGTAGTTTGATAACTGAAAGAAAATAATCTTAAAAATATCAATATGGGAGGCAGCCCAAACAAGCAAGTAAAGTACAAAAGTTTAGGCAAATGTAAATGAACTTTATTTTAGCCACAATTTTTGTCTTTTTTTTAGGTTGTTTTTTTCTTTTTAGCCTAAACAGGCTTTTTGTTTTTCGGCTTATTCAAAAAAAATTGCGATGGTGAGTATTCGCCCATTGAATAGCTGCCGGAATTGCTCTGTTAGGAAAAATTTTTCTAGTAGCCACCGGCTTACAAGTTTTTGAGGGCATAATTGTTGGCAAGAGCTTTGCGGAAAATTGAGAAATTATTCAAAGCAAAAGTTTCGATTTTCCTTTGCCGTGAAAAACTTATCAACTAGGTTTTCAAAGTTTTATCATTGCTTATTTGTTAGCTGTTGTAGTACAAGCACATTTATCTTATCTCCACATGTATATAGGCTGAGTTTTGGAGGACAAAATCCGTGAGCATTTGGTTCAAACTTCACTTAAGCGCTATATTCAACTTCCTTATTTAGAAGCTCAGGTGATGAAGAGCAAACTACGAAATATTCTTTTGCTAGATATTCCTTTACTTAGTTATTCTTTTGCTGGTGGAGCCAAAGGACAAGATTTTAACCAAATTTTTTTCCAAACGGCGGATGTAATATTGTCTGCGGCTATGACAATTACTATTTTACAAAGAAACGGTAATGAAAAAGGCATTTTTATTCTTTTAGGGGCAATTATTTTTACTATGCTATTCGTTATTCTCTTTCAATGGCTATTAGTAAAAAAAGAAAAAAAATTTAAGAAATCTCTCGACCAAGAAAATCAAAAAATTGATAATTTGCTCGACAATATTGAATTATTAAAAAAGAAAGAATTAAGTCCAGTTTTTTTAAAAGAAATTCAGCAAGTAATGCACAAAAATATCAAAAAAAGAGAAAAAGACAAGTTTTTAATTGTAGCCAGTGGAGTTTATCCTAGTTATTTAATACCCCGGGCGGTAGTAATGATTTTGTTTTCTTTTACTTTGGACCTTCAAGCAGTGAAACCTACTGATGATTCTCTTAAACAATTAAAAAGCGTTTTAGTAGCGATGCGAGGATTGCCCACTGTTTTGGCTTCTAGTCAACGTCTGGATAATTATTATCAAATAACTAAACTACCAGCAAAAGAAAAAATCCCTAAAATTCGTTTTACAGCACCAATTAAAAAAATTGAATTACGGAATGTTTATTTTCGTTATCCCAGCCAAGGAGAATATCTTTTAAAAAATATCAATCAAGAATTTGTGCCTGGTAAAATCACCAAAATTGAAGGACGAAATGGCTTTGGTAAATCCACCATTATTTTACTTATTTTAGGGTTGGTTGAGCCTCAAAAAGGACAAGTCATTATTAACAACCACTATGACTTAAAACAAATCGACTTAGTCTATTGAAGAAAACAAATTGCTTATGTTTCTAACCAAACTTTACTTAAAAAAGGCTCCGAGGGGGAAAAACAAATCCAAGAATTAGAAGAAACTTTACTGAAAGGAAACTATGCTCTTGTTGATCCAGAAAGAAAAAGCCAAGTCTTGATTTTAGATGAAGCATGAAACTCTTTGGATAAAAGTAATCGCGAACAATGAAAGGAAAAAGTCGAAAGTTTAACCGCTCATCACAAAACAATTACTATTGTTATTGAACATTAAAAACTGCTTTTTTTGTTGTTACAAAGTGCGAATAAATGGTCAGCATTATTCTTTTAAACATGACTAACAAAAAGACTTAGTATTTTACAATTTTAGGAAATATCATTACTGCTGGTAAAAAAATTGGTATTAACATCATGCAAACACTAAAAATTAATTTGGTAATGAAAAGAAATCCGTTGGACTTGGATGAATTATCCTGCAATTTTTATATTCTCACTAACATTATTTCTCAAAGGAAAGCCATTCGTGAATACAATTCCCAAAAAATTCCTACTGAATTAGTGGAAAAAGTAATTAAAATTGCTTGTCGAGCTCCTTCTTGATACGGTTTAGAGCCTTGATTTATTTTAGCAATTGGCGGAGAAAAAATCAAACAAGATTTATATCCATTTTTTAACCAGCAAAAACAAGTAATTGATTGCTCTCATCTCTTTTTAATTTTGAGTTGTCGAGGTGAAGCATTTAATTGAGAAACTGATTTATTTAAGCAAAAAGTCCTTTGAAAATATAATCGATTAACTGAAGAAACTTATCTTGAGTTTTGCCAAAAATCCTTGTCTCTTTTTAATTCTGCTAAACCAAAAAAAATTAGCATTTGAGCCAAGCAACAGTGTTTTATTTTGCTCCAAAATTTTTTACTGCTCTGAACTAGTTTAAATATTGCTACTTCTCCGATGGGAGGATTTAAAGAAAAAGAAATAATTGATTATTTGGAACAAAATAACCTAGTCTCTGCTGGAAAATATAATTTAGCAGTGAGTTTTGCGGTTGGTTATCCTTCAAAAGTTGAATTATGAAAAAAACAAATCCAAGAAAAAGATTGAAAAAAAACCTTCCAAATAACCTAAAAATTAATATATAACAATAACTATTATGGTAATTCAAACAAACGAAAAAGAGTTTAAAGGTAAAACCTTACAAGAATATTTAAATTGAAGGTATCCGACTAAGGAGGACAAAGAGGGAGTGAGGGAGATTAATGTTTACCAAATCTATTACGAAAGAGAAGAACAAGGCATTACCGAAAAACTAGAAAGAGGAGAATTAGATTTGAGCGAGTATGTGGGTTTAGAGGGAGTGTGATTTAGAGCACTTGATATGAAATTCCCACTAACTAAACTAACTTTGGGAAATAAGCCAAATTTAACTACACTTGAATGCTCCTATAATCAACTAACTTCCATTGATGTATCCAAGTGTCCTAATTTAACTGAACTTGATTGCTTCTATAATAAACTAACTTCCATAGAATTCTTAAAACAACTACCTCACCCTGAGAAGTTAAAATGATTACAACTTGCCAATAACAATATTGAACCAACTAATTTGGAGTTTTTGCGACCTTTTATTAATCTTGCTAGAAAACTAACTTTGGGAAATGATGACCCAGAAAGATGCAAAAACAACATTTACAATCGTTTCTATGGCAGTTTAGAACCATTAAGGGGCATGACTAAATTACCAGGTTTATGTATTGATGGCACTGATGTTGAGGAGGGATTGGAATATTTACCGACTACTATTGAAAAAGGCGATTTTAAACGTTTTAACTGTTTTAACTGTTCCCCCAAACTCCCCAACCAAAAAGTAGCCAAAATCCAAGACCAAATGAGACCTTTTAACTACGATATAAAAGCCTGACAATTAGCCCACCCCGAATTAATGTTAAAAGCAAGACCCGAATATTTTACCAATCCTGACAGTAGAGAACAATGAATTAATGCTTTGGCAGACCAAATCACCCAAACCCAACAAGAACTAATTGCAACGAAAACCAACACCCCCGACAAATTAAAACGTATTCAAAGATTAGAAAGTAAAATTAACCATTTAGAAATCATTAAAGATTTATTAAAGCAAAGAAACCAAATAATCGAACAAGTCCAAGAGGAAAGAGAAATTCACCAAGACAGTTTAAAAGCCATGGACAACTTTTATCAACAAAACCCACCCCAAGAGGAGCAGAGATTAAATAACATCCTCAAAGTGTTTGAAAAAGATTATTTAAAACTTAACTGGGAAAATCAACAAAAAGACCAAAAGGTTAAGGAGTTAGAAAAAACTGTTGAATTAATTGAAAAACTGGCTCAACAAACAATCCAAGAACTAGAAAGCAAAATAACTAAATTAGAGAGCAAGAAAAATCAAACAACTGAACCGAGAACTGAAATTGCTCCGAAAACTAATTTTAATAATTAACATATGAATATAAGCACAGAAATAAATATAATTATACGGGTATCACTTAAATAGGCAGCAATGTTTTCCTTATTGCATCCCGCTCTTAAAATGGTTGGTTCAGGCTTTTTAATTACTTTAATTAGTCGATCATTAATTTTCTCGACGTTTCTTAAATTCATTTCACTTTTCCTCAAACAGTTTTTTTGTTTTGGTGTTATGGTGATTTGTCAAAACAAAGTCAATAGTTTCTGCTATTAATTGAAATTCTTTTTCTCCTAAACCACGAGTAGTTAAAGCCGGTGAACCTAAGCGAATACCACTAGTAATTCAGGGCTTTTCATTATCATAGGGAAGCATATTTTTATTACAAATAATACCCACTTTTTCTAACCTTTTTGCTGCTTCTTTTCCAGTTAAATTATAACTACTTTTAGTATCGATTAATAATAAATGAGTTTCGGTGCCGCCACTAATTATTTTCACTCCTTTTTTTTGAAAGTAGTCAGCCATAACTTTCGTATTTTTTAATACTCTTGTTTGGTATTCTTTGAATTCTGGTTGGAGTGCTTCCCAAAAACATTGAGCCTTGGCGGCAATAATTGCTAAATTTGGTCCTCCTTGGTTGCCTGGAAAGACAGCTTTATCAATTTTCTGTCCCAACGCTTTTTTAGTCAAAATTACGGCTCCGCGAGGTCCTCTTAAAGTTTTGTGAGTGGTAAAAGTAATTACATCAGCGTAAGGAACAGGATTAGGAAATAGTTCAGCAGCCACCAAGCCAGCCACATGGGCGATGTCAGCCAGTAAATAAGCACCTGCTTCATCAGAAATTTCTCGAAACTTAGCAAAATCAATTTTTAGACTGTAAGCACTATAACCAGCAATAATTAATTTTGGCTTAACTGCTTGGGCGGTTTTGGCAACTTCTTCGTAGTCTAATTTTTGTGTAAGAGGATTGAGGTTATAATAATGAACTTGGTAAAAGGTTCCGGAAAAATTTACTTTGGCTCCATGAGTTAAATGTCCTCCGGCCAACAAATTTAAACTCAATATTTTATCACCAGGTTTTAAAAGGGCTAAATAGACGGCTTGATTAGCTTGGGAACCGGAATGTGGTTGGACGTTAGCATATTCGACCCCAAATAATTTTTTGGCTAAATCAATGGCTAACTCTTCAATTTTATCAATATATTGGCAGCCTTGATAATAACGAGCATTAGGGTATCCCTCAGCATATTTATTCATTAACAAAGAACCGCTGTAAAATAATACTTTTTTTGAAGGGTAATTTTCCGAAGCAATTAAATTCAGGGTATTTTTTTGTCTTTTTCTTTCGTTTTGGTAATAATTGAGGAGGATTTTTTCTGGTGAATTAGGCTTTTTACTCATGAATTATAGGGAAAGTGAACTACCCACCACTTAGAGAAGTGGAGGCTTCTAAAAAGAATTCTCGGTTCTTTGCCAAAAGTATCCTTTAGGCTCCCCGAAGGTTCGTCCCAAACCTTTCTCTCACTGGAGTGTTCTAATAGAACTTTACCCTATCTAATAGGCTATTGCATCATTATACTTAAAGTATATTATAATTTTAGCAATTCATCTTACCACTTGCAGAAGTGGGAGTATTCTTGCTAAGGTGTTAAAATGTCTTTTCGGTAAGTATGCGAAGTTAAATTTCTTTCTTTGCCAAAATTTAATCATATTTCTGAGTCCTCTAAATAGCCTCATTGGGCGGCTAAGCGGAAAGTTTCTCGAGGATTACGAACTTGGTCTCCTTGGCTGTTTAAAACTTTTTGGAGAGTTTTTCAAGCTAATTCGAAACTAACTCCAAAAACTTGCACGGCTGTATTTCATCTAGTTCGTCTTCAATTGTTTTATGAAGAGCTTTTTCGAGCAAATTTTTCATCTGGATTAAGGGTTAAATACAATCATCTCTTTTTGGTTCATACACTTATTTTCATTGTTCTGGGTTGTATTGTTTTGTACTTGGTTTGGTTAATTATTCCGGATCGAATTTCTTGTTTCTTGGGGATAATTTTGGTCAATCACTCTTGGGCATTTGGCATAATAGACTTTTTAAAGATAACTATATTTCCTACCTCTTTTTCCCCGTTCTTCCTTTGGTTCTGGCCGGAATTTTATTGAGATATCAAGCCGCTGTGCCGAGGGCAACCAGGAGAGCTCCGCCGCCCATGGCTCAGGGGAGTCATTTTTTTTCACTTGGTTTTTGGGAAAGATTGGTTTTCTTTTGGGTAGTTAATTTTTGCTGTTGAATTTGGCTAGTAACTTGCTTTACATATTGAGCTACGGCTTGGCTGGTGGTTAATTGGTCTAACTCTTTTTGATCGTAGTGTCAATTAGTTAGATTTTGCTTTTCGGCAAACTTGGTAATGAATTCAACGGCTTTTTGCTTAGCTACTTCGAGATTTTCCGTATTTTCAATTAATTTAGCGGTTAGACCCACTAAAACTTCTTTTTCTTGTTCTACTTCTCTGTCATCCCAGTAATAAAAAAACCTATTTGCCATATTGCCCCCCTCTTTTTTTGTTAGGAACACCATGTTCTTGATGAGAAATGGTCATTTTTGGAATCTTGTCATACTAATTTTTATATTTTTTAACGTAAACATAACGACAAGTTTAAAAAATCCAAATTGAAAAGATCCAAAACCCCTTATGAATGCTTTAAGCAAAATCAAGCAAGTCTCTAAGGAAGATTTGCGTAACTTCTTAGCTACCGACCACCGTTCTTTTACTGTCCTTAACGTATCTTTTAAGCAGATATTAAGCACGAAACGTACGAGCGTGATATTATCAAAACCCTCGGCGAAGAATTTCTACCTCAAAGACAAAGCCAAACCAACTTTATTAAAACCGCAGCCTACTTTACCTGCTGATTGCCGAAAAGATGCTCAAAACTGTCAATATTTTGCTCTCTTTAGCAGCAAAGAAAAACGTCTCCATACCCTTTTTAAAGATAAAATTGAAGCTAACTTTGAAGGAACTGCCGAAGAGCGTCCCTTGCTATTCTTAACCCTTACTTTCAATACCACTCAGAAAGACTTAGCTTCTTTCACCACTAATTGAGACCAGCAAGATAGTTGCTGAAAACCATTAAATCAAAAGCTTCCTTGGCTTCGCAGGTGAGCAGCTAGCTTTGATCCAACCGCGGAATCTCTCAAAGTAAAAATCCATAAAGTATCCTCAGAAAAAGCCAGCAATTGAGACCAAGCTAGCCAAGCTTTAAGTCAATTTTTGCGAAAGGTTCGTCATACTTTTAAACCCTCCCAGTGAAAATGAGCAGTGATTGCCGAATTACAAAAGAATGGACATTGACACTTCCATTTCTTGTCAACACCCATTGTGCCTTATGCTCACCAGTGTACTTTAAGCAAAAACTTTAAATCTTGCTGGAATTGTCGAGCCTACATTAGCCAGTTATGACCCTGAGGACGAGTAGAAAGCCGCTCTACAGGAAGAAAGACCATCAGCCAATATTTAGCCAAGTATTTAAGCAAAAGTTTCCATCTCCGTAATCTTTACCAAGCCCATGGTCTTCATAACAAAAACAAGACCTACCGCTTTTTTAAGAATTTGTATGAATACCAAGAACGAAAAGCCACAGTCTCTAATGGTTCTAAACAGGATTTTCTCACCGGCAGATATCTAGCTCCTAATCAACACATATTCAAACGCCAAGATAACACTTACTATTATCGTGCTAATGAGCAACTCATTGGGCATTGTGCCAAACCTTTAATCATTAAAAAAAGCTACCGTTTAGGTTATCATTCTTTAAGCACACTGCCCCTTTGCCAGTTAGCTCAATGGACTAAACCATCAGTCAGCTTAGCTTTTCGCAAAAAAGCAGCGGCTAAAATCACGCCAGTAGACTTTCAAGAGTATCTTATAACTAGCCTTTTGCTTTTCTGTAAAAAAGCCGAGTTTATTAATTTGCCTCTCGAAAAAGAAAAAGTGCCGCAAACCCAAGGCAAATGCGACCAATTAGACTATACCCACTTCCAAAAAATGCCTACTCTCCGCTTTAAATTCGCCAAGGAGAATGCCAACCTAGCTAGGATTTTTATGGAAAACCTTGATAACCAAGCCCAAGAGTTTGATATTGAAGAGAAGCAAGGCTTTATTGATTCTCGTTTCCCTAATCCAACCATTGCTCGCAATGCTTATTTAAATCAATGAAATCTAAACTATCACCATCCCTGAAAACAAGAAGGAGGGAGAACCCCCATGTAAAAGAGAGCCATCTTAGCGGTCAATTCGAAACTGACCGGGGAAATATATGAGCCAAGCAAGATTAGCACTAAATGCTAAGTTCTCCCTTCTCCTCAACCTTACTTGGTGCTTTTATCCTCCTGGGGTAGTTGAGGAGAGCAAATGCTTTCCAAAAGCCTCATAATCTAAGCATGCTAAGTCCAACTCACCTGCTTAAACTATGAAGAAGTTCATAACCATGGCAAGACCTGCCCAAAAACCAAGAATTAAAAAATCCTGTACCGGTTGCGGTGATACTTTCACCACTTACCAACAAAACAATTATGATTATTGTCGCAACTGTGCTATTAATGGCAACAGATACGCTAAAAATCAATGTCCCGAGTGTGGCGATAGCAGTGGAGTAATCAAATTTAAAGGTAAATCCCCGAGAGAGTGCAAACTTTGTGCTTTAAATAAGCCCAAAATCAATTGTTTTTATGGTTGTGATTTTATGGCGGGCATAGCCCAAATAATGGAACAGCATTATCAACAAAAACATGCTCTTAAGCCCAAGGAGGTTAAACGTGGTTAATATTTATCAAAAACTCCAAAGCATTCAAGCTAAAACTGGAGCAATTAGTAAAACCGAAACTAACACCTTTCAAAAGTATAAGTATTTCACCGAACAGCAAGCTTTGAATATCCTTAAACCCTTGCTAAATGAACACAAGCTAACCTTAACTTTTAGTGATAATCTCAACCACTTTACTCGGGAAAAAGCCGAAAAAGAATGAGTAATCAGTTATCCTAAGCAAGCCATTTTAACTAATTCCGAAGACCCTCGAGAGCAATTAATCTTTAACTATTGAGCGATTGGTTCTAATTCTGACCCGGCCAAAGCCAAAGGTTGTGCGGAAACTTATGCGATTAAATACTTCTTAACTAAGTTTTTCCTCATCCCCACTACCGATGAACTGGACCCTGACCTTTTTAAACTCCCTGAACACTTAATTCGTTTAGCCAAAGAAAGACAAGAAACCCCTGAACAGATCCAACAAAGACACCAAGAAAAAGATAAAAAATACGAAGCTGAACTAAAAGCCAAATACGGAGCCGATTGAAAGCTTTCCCAAGAATACAAAATGTGGAAAGGTGGCTCTATCAAGGAGGAAAAGCATGAATAAAATTAAAACTTGTCGAGCTTACTTACCCCCTAGTTTTAGTGAAATATGTGGCAAAGAAGTCGACCCTATTTGCCAAAATCAATGCTTTAAACATTGCTACAACAAAGATTATCCCGAAACCCACTACCTTAGATGTAAAAATCCCCACCATCCTCCTTATCAAGAAAGTGAATTCTTAAAGCAATTCAAACAAAGTCAAGCTAAAATTCAGCAATTACTCTGACAGTATCCTTATGCTTCAATGGACATTTTCACCCTCAGCAAAACCAAACTAAAGAATGCTATTCGGAGAGATATTCAACTCCTCCAAGAAATCTTGCCCCTCGAAGACTGTTTAATCCCTAATGAAGATGACCCAGAAATGTGAGACCCCAGCAGCTGTGATGAACTAACCGAAGAAATGGAAAAAATCAACCAAATCCTGAATCACCAAAACGGCTTAAAAGCCAAATTAGACTTATGGGAAAATTATCAAGCAATTGCCGAGGAGGTAGAAGATGATTATTAATTGACAAATTAAGCAACTCCAAGCCAAAATAGTCAAACTAAAAAGAGAAAAAGCCCAATTAAGAGCCTTTCTACACGAAATAATTGAAGCTCATTACCGAGTGATTAATCAAGAGCCAGCCAGCCAAGCCCAAGGAGGACAATTTGAAAAAGAAACGAGGAAGAAATATGAATAACTTTAACTTAAACCCAACTCTATTTAGCTTTTTAGCCATAAAAACCAAAAAACCAACCAACTCCTGTGGTTTAGCTTGAATTGATGATAGTCTCCACCTCCATGGCAATAATTACTATATCTATACTTGCCATACTTGCCAATCTAAACAAATCAAAAAAGGCACCAAACCCAAAGTAGACTTTAATTGAGGAGGTTTAAATGACTAAATACAATTACTGCTCTCGTTGCGGACAATGGTTAGGTTTCTTAAACTGATTTAAATTCTGGCAACCCCGCCAAGTTTGTCAAAAATGTGAGGAGGAACAATTATAATGCTCACCGAACTCCTCGGCAAAATCATCCATAAAGAACCTAAGAAAGTTTATGACAAAAAAAGCCCTTTCTATGGTCAAGCTTATTATAAACTCAAAGTCTTAACTGAAGACCAAGAAAAACACGCTTTTTTTGCTTATCCTAATCTAGTCACCCCCCCACTTGAAAAACCATTGTCTACAGCCAGTATGTCGATAAAAGATATCTCCTCCACGGAGAAAAACGCAAAAAGGGTTTTATTCTCCACTCTTGAAAGGAGTTAAATGATGCTTAAATTTAAATTTGATTACCTCCATAACACCTTAGCTTACCAAACCGAAAAAAACCTTTGAAACCAAATCGCCGAAGAACAACAATTTACCGGTAATTTTGGCAACCAAGGATTTAAGTTAGAGAACAGCTGAATTACTTTCACTCTCACCCAAAAGAAAATCCAAGTATTCTACAAATATCGCCAAGTTCCTTATTGATTTACCTATTACCGGAAAGATTTACCCAAAGAATGTCCAGTATTCTTTACTTTTAAGGAAGCTAATGAAGTCGAAAAAGTTAACGGCAAATGAGTAAAGAAAGGAGGTTCTCATGAATAAATACCAAAGCCAAATCGCCCAAGCTAATCAGCCCAAATACCCGCCTAAAAAGCCAGCTCACTTAAAGAAGAACCCCATTTCCCACCAAGCTTGATTAGTCGCTAAAAAAGCCCGCAACCAAGCCCAGTATCTGAAAAGAAACCCTTCCGCTATTCGTTGCTTAGTTTGCTTTGCTACTAAATTCAAATCACCTTTAACCAATTGAATTGAAGCCAAGCATTATCAAAGCTCCCTCAACACCGTTAAAGAAATCTTCCTTGGCAACCAAAATCCTCCCCCTCATGCTCCCGAGGATGGGCGTCAATATATCGGCAGCACTTTTTATTGCTCTCTCCCTTGCTTCAACTACCAAGCCGAACAACAAGAAAGAGAAGATTGAGCGAAAGGAGACTGTGTTTCTTGCGGCAAACCATGGGTAGTGATTAACGACCAATGCCATGAACTAAACCACCAAAAGTAAATGAAGTATTTGCCCATTAACCCCTATTGCTTAAAGGAGGTCAATAATGCCCAAAGATAACCAATACTGAAAAGAGTATAATCAAAAGAGAAAAGCCTACCTAGCCTTAAAGAAAAAAGAAAGCCGAGAAAAGTTAAAGAGACTAGCTATCTCTGACTTAGATTTACCAACCAAACTACCGTCTACTTGGCTTAATCAGCCAACTATCGGTTTAAAGGATCAGTCTACCGATGCTTTAAGGATTGTCGACCAGGTTGTAGACCATCTGCAAACTGTCGACCTGAAAAAAGTTGTCGACTGGGTTGTAGACATTGAAGCAGTTGTAGACAATGCTTCTTTAAAAGTTGTAGACTGCCAAGCCGTTGTCGACAATAGCTTTCAGGTTGTAGACAATCTCAGCCACTTAATCCAATCTTGACAAACTAATACTGCTTATAGTTGTGCTACCACTTGTTCCCAAAATAAATACTGCTCTAATTGTTGATACTTCCAAAATAACCAACTAATTGACTACAAAAAGGAGGTTCTCATGTAAACTATATGTCTCCCCGTAAATTAAAAAAAGCCTGCAAGCATAACCAACGACGCTATCCTTGTGGTTGTTGTAATTGAATCAAAGCTGATCACAAATATCGCCAAAAGAAACTAAACCAAGGTCTTTAATTGGTTAGACCTTAAATAAACCAGTCTCTTTAAAGTTATTCTTAGAATAACAAAGTCTTTCCCAAGCTAGCTTAATTAAGCCAATAAAGTCCGACCTAACCCAATTAGCCCGGAGTGACCCCAATTGAACCTCTCTGAATGGAGCTGAAAGTAAACTGGTCTAGCCAGAACTCTGCTAGTAAGCAACAGTATAATAAGCTGACAACATTCTGCTAAGCAAGTTAAGCCGACTTTATTGGATAGTTAAGTTTTAAGTCACCAGAGAGAATAGCTTTTAATCTCTCAGGCATTTTTTAAAATCCACGGGAGCAGAATAGCCTTTTTTGCCACTTTTAAGGGCTCTTTTTCTTTGTTAGTTTTCTTTTTATAAAAAGCGTGGTGATTTTAATCACCTAAGCGATAAGGATAACTCGCCTTATATTCTCGTAAAGAAACTAAGCAAAGAAAAAGAGCTTGAAGGTCAACTCTCTTTGCCAACTAACTCATTGCTAAAAAAATCCCCTCGCCAACTTTTTGAAAATCTCCCCACCAAATTCCCCCAAAAAAATCCCCCCTCCATTTTCCCTAAATAACCCTATATATAATTTACTTATAAAGTATATATAGAAAATAAACCTCTTCAAACCCATCCCTAAATTCCTAAAAAGAAACTTATAGAAATTAGTCGACAATTGCTATATGTTAATCCATTTATGCCAAACTCCCAAACTCAACCTACTCAAGCTGAACTCAAACGGGCTTACACG